ACTAAACTCAAGAAAGCATTGCTTTTACAGGTTATCTGTTGAGATACTAAAGTAGGTACAACTTCACAATACTTCTTTGTAATTATATTAACTGCAATGTGATTGTGATTTTTACCTGTACCAAGATTAAGTTCAACATCAAATAAAAACTAATACTATAAAAGTATAGTTTTGTATTTAAATATTAAATGAAATGGGGCACCTGGATGGATCAGTCGGTTAGGTGACTGACTTAAGCTCAGGTCATGATCTTGCCGTTTGTGAGTTTGGGCTCTACATCAAGGTCTGTGCTGACAGCTCAGAGCTTGGAGCCCGCCTCAGATTCTGTGTCTCCCTCCCTCTCTCTGTCTCTCTAAAAAAATAAGTGAACATTTAAAAAATGTAAAAAAATATTAAATGAAAATTTCACCTGTTATCTGCTAAAATTATTCCCACCAGGGAATAACACCACCAGGGTTTTCTCTCAGCTCCCTCCTCATTTCTTGACTCCAAATAAAAGTCATTCTCTTAGATCTGTCAATGGCAGTAGCACTTCTGATTATTACATAATTTCCTGGTAGTAGAGCCCAGCCGATGTGCACAAGGTAGATCTTCGTTTATATGTGAGATGTCATAGCACAATGGAGGACTGATGCTCTGTCCCAATTCCTTCAATCTTGGTGTGGTTTTCTTAGGATTACCAAAGCCATAAATACACATATGTATTTATTTAGTTACTTGCTAATTAGTTACTTGTCTGAAATAGTACTTGGCTCTTTGATCTTTTTCAATTTAAGCAGGTCAGAGATTTATCTCTATTAGTACGGCATAAAAACAATGGTTCAAAAAAAGGGCACATGTACCAGAATGATTCTAGCCTCAGGACTCTTCAAGTGGGTACCTATACTGCCTGCTCTGCTGAGAATTACTGAAAACCAAATAATGGTCTCAAGCTGATTATCTATAGTCCTATGAAACTTTGTCTAGTTTCTTCTATAGGTTTAAACTTGCCAGTGATCATGAATAGAATGGCAGTAACTTTCTACAGGACTATTCCAAAAACAAATCCAAATAAGAACAACTTTCCCCAAGGACAAAAATGACAACTCACAGACATGAGAATAAAGAGAGAAAAATTTTCATTACACACCGAAGTCTGCTAGAGGAAAAAAAAAGTTTTCTCAGCTTTACTATTTTCCTTTTTATAAAGTTCAGTCTACTGTGAAAGTTTCAACTTAAAGCTCTTTATAAAACTAGACAGAAACTAAAACAAAAGGTCTGTAGTATGCAGTAAATCTTGCAAATTGAAAGGTTTAAAAACCTTCAGAAAAGGCTCTCCATTCAGATCTGCCAAAGCAAACAGAGAAGCGCACAACACGCTGGTGCCTGGCTGTTCCCCAGTTACGCTGCAGGTCAAAGAGCATAACCAAAACATGTAACCAGAAAATCTTGTTTGCTATTTTCAAAACAATCACGACCGAAACAAAAACATTACTTCAGATTTTCAAGTTTAGTCAAGTCAAGAAGAGCCCATTTCATTTTAATCTACTTAATTGTATAAGCCCTTTTAACTTACTGCAGCTATGTCACAGAAAGAGTTTAATGGATGTTTAGTTATTGTTCATATCTCCAATGAAACTTCAAAACGTGAGTGAGCTTATTTGGCAATTATAATGTGTTTTAGAGACACTTTTGGGAGTTATTTTTCAAACTACATAAACTAATTTTGCTACTTTTTTAATAGGAAATTGACATTACAGTAGATGTCTGATGGTTGATTGAAAGATACAAAAAAAATCTCAAAACTGGTTTCACATCCAGGGGAGTGTCTCGACTAATTATTTTAAAAAGCCTCATTATAATTCTCAACAAAATTCTTTTAATTAAAACCTTAAATTGTACCTAAAGTTTTTGGAATACTAGCTTTTCCTCTACAGTCAACTGTGTAATTTACTCTAAGAAGCAGCATTAATTGGTATAACAAACTAACACTTACTAAATAACACACTATATGCCAGGCACTGTGCGGTGAACTTTGCATCCATTTTCTGACTTTAATTTCATAATATACCTTGAGTAGCGACAGATAACCAATGAAAATTTTCAATGAGTATCAAATTTATTAACAACAACGTGAAACTCAAAGCAGAAGGCCTAACAAAGTTTTGGATGACTATTAAAAATTATCTCTTTGAAGGCTATTCAATGATACATAAAAAGTTCAAGATGGAGTTATAAGATAATCACAAATCTGTTTCAATTAAGTGTTACCCTAAAGTACCTAAACCTGGCTGTTGAATATATGAGATTTTACACTAAACTTAGTATGAATGGTATAGTGTATAGTAGTTGAAACATAAGTTCCTTTGAAATTTTAATATATTTTGGCACAGACTAATGTATAATGAAAACTTTATTAGGCAAACATTTATTTGCTCTTCTGATTGAGTTGTTTTATAAAGCACCTTCAGTTTCTACTGCTTTAATTTTAAATGTGAAGAATTAAATATAGACTTTCTCAAAGGTTACATTGCTTTCATTTTAAATCAGTTAAATAGAGCACGAAGCCATTGATTTCTTTACAAATAGCTACTGAAAGTGAAATACAGACTTTGCAAACTTTGGAAATGTGTCAGACCCTAAAAGAGGGATCCTCTTCTCCACTGCTCAATTTTATGCATATAGTAGGCACTCAATAAAAGATGTTGAAAGAATGCATAAACGTCCTCTCTGGATCTCTAGACTTACTTTCCCTTCACTCAGTTTAGATGACCTGAGAAGCACTTCCTCAAAATAACCCTCTGGTTCACCATGAGACGAATGCCTGGCACCAGCTGGCAGGAGATATTAATAGTGTGCCCATTAGGCACTTGTTCAAGGCACACAGATAGCTCAGTGATAAAATCTTCAGAAATATTTGGATAGTTAAAATTATTCAGAATATGAATCAGTTATGGTTCTTGAAATCTCACTCTAATTATTAAGAAATCAACATCTGTTTTTGGAAATTCTTTTTAAAAAAGTAAGGTAACAGCAATAATTACTTTCAATTTTAGAGGAACTCAGCATTTAGGGCTAAAGAAAAAAGCTTAGAACAGCAAAATTCTTTTTTCCTTGTGACAAAGATTCTTTTGAAGGATTCATATGCTAAAAAAAGAAAAGAATAGATTTTTTCCTTCAAATTTCAATTTTTAGTATTTATCAATCATTTACCACTGACCAAGAAGTCTCAAAAACAGTAATATGCGGAAAATTACAAAACAGCCTAGGTCACTCTTAGTGACTCATGAGAGACTGGGTAGAGAAGGGGAATGGAATGGGACTACAGCTCATTTTTCAACTAGTACATAATTTAGAAATACTTGTCCCTTCACCAGACAAAATTAACCACTCTAGCTAGAAAATATTTGACAGTCATCCATCCTTGATCTAAAATTCTTCCAGATATTTAGTTTAACCAGTAAGAGACATACATTCAAAGCATCCATTTGTTTTTGTTATAAAATGGCCTATATCTTACATCATAGTGTTAAAGACATTTTATTCTCTGAGCCATCACTTCAAAGTTTCTACAAAAGTATTAGAGTTCAGATGAATTGTTTTTCTTACTTAGTGTGTAATGTCTCAAATAAAATAAACTCAAATAAAAATAAAAGATAAACAAGCAGTTGGGGTGCCTGGGTGGCTCAAGTTGGTTAAGTGTCTTTGGCTCAGGTCATGATCTCATGGTTTGTGGGTTTGAGCCCCACATTGAGCTTTCTGCTGTCAGCCTGCTTCAGATCCTCCGTCCCTCTCTCTTTCTCTGCCTCTTCCCTGCTCGTGTGCGTGCTCTTGCTCTCTTTCAAAAATAAATAAAAACATTAAAAAAAAGATAAGCAGATTTGAATCCTCAAATACTCGGATGAACAGACAATTCTACTAGTTATCTTACACCATGCTACATAGAGACAGAGAATAAACAAGAATAAGATACAGTTGCTGACCCTTAGGAACCTTCCATTTGGCTGGGGAAATGATGCAGGAAACAAGAGCTAATGAGATAAGAGAAATGCTCATTTTTTTATGTGGTATGGAGAAAATAGATGTTTACAGGCATAGAGATAGAATATCCTCATTTTAGGTAGAGAGGCAAGTAAGGCTGAAGAGGTAGGGCCATGTGGAAGGGCCTGGAAGTTTGGCAGAAATACTTACATTTGATACAGTAGTATATGGGGCGGTGAGATACTTTTTGCAGAGGAGGAATTAGAGAAAGGAGTTAGATAGAAAAAATTATCTAGGTCAATTGGAAAACTGATTAACACAGGTACAATTTTTCTCTTAGTGTACTTTAAATAGAATCTCACATATCATTAGTGGATCTCCCCTATATTTTCTTGTTCTTCATAAAGTCTTTTATATTTTCTTTCTTTCTCTCTTTTCTTTTTTCTTTTCTTTTCCTCCTTCCTTTTTTTTTTTTCTTTTTAATTTACATCCAAGTTGCATATAGAGTTATAATGATTTCAGGAGTAGATTCCAGTGATTCACCCCCTACATATAACAGCCAGTGCTCATCCCAACAAGTGTCCTCCCTAATGCCCCTACTTTTAATCATAATATAAATGTGCTATCTCATTTCTCTCTCTGCATCCATCTTTCTCTTTCTCAAATATATGTCAAGGAATGTACACAGGTGAATAAAAAACAAGAGAAAAAGGAAAGCCTATTTAATTTTATTCTGAAAACTGTACAAAAGCATTAGTAGCACACTTGAAATTAATGTGAAAATAAAATCACAATGGTGTCATTATCACTGAATCTAATTCTAGGAAAATTCTAATGTACATTTCTAGTTTACTGACCATTAAACTCACTTAAAAATACATGAAATGCATGATTATAACGTACTGTGCTTTATTTTGTGAGCAATTTAATATTTATGCATACTAAGAATAAAGTAACTTTACTTTGCACATTATCAAAAAGCATAATGTAATTACATTTAGCTTGAGTAGATAAGTAAAACAAATGTATATTGATTGTACCTTTGCTTTAGTCGTCTTTTGGCTGTTGTGGGAACATTAGCACCATAGCCATAGGAAAAAAGAACCCTTTCAGCTTCATCTTCATTTTCAACTGAAAAATATTAAAGTGTATGATGTAAAATAAGTGGTTTTTTCTTAAAAAACATGGCAGAAGTGAAAATAAGAGGTCATGCCAATGAATCAGGGAGCATAAGAACATTAAAAAGGACTAATGCATAATCTCAAACAGTCCATTTGTAAGTAGAAGCATATTTCTTAAAGTATATGGTTGCTTAAATTTGTTCCATTTATTTTTAAAAGGTGTAATGGCTTGCATCATATGACATGTTAAATTTTCTTGTTATAAAAGCATAATAATTCAAGGGGCACCTGGGTGGCTCTATCGGTTAAGCTTTTAACTCTTGGTTTTGGCTAAGGTCACAATCTCATAGATTGTGAGTCTGAGCCCTGCATAGGGCTCTGCGTTGATGATGCAGAGCCTGCTTGGGATTCTCTCCCCTCTCTCTTCCCTTACCCTGCTTGCTCTCTTGCTCAAAACTAAATAAACTTAAAAAAAATTTTTAAAATAAAGCCTAGTAATACAGATGTGTGATATTCTGAATGATTCTAAGGATTTTTGTATGTAATGTATGTTTTGTAATTATCAATAAGTAATAATATTAATTTCATTATTTCTCTTCTTGATAAAAGAAATGACTACTTTTTTTTTTTTTAATATTTTTATTTTATTTCTAGGAGAGAGAGAGAGAGACAGCTTGAGCAGGGGAGGGTCAGAGAGAGAGGGAGTCACAGACTGAAACAGGCTCCAGGCTCTGAGCTGGCAGTCAGCACAGAGCCTGACGCAGAGCTCGAACCCACGAACCGCGAGATCATGGCCTAAGCGAAAGTCGGACGCTTAACCGACTAAGCCACCCAGGCACCCCGAAATGACTACTTTTTTAAATGTTTATATTTGAGAGAGAGAGAGAGAGAGAGAGAGAGAGAGACAGGACATAAATGGGGGAGGGGCAGAGAGAGACAGAAAGACAGGGAGACACAGAATCTGAAGCAGGCTCCAGGCTCTGAGCTATCAGCACAGAGCCCAACATGAGACTCAAACCCATGAACCGTATGAGATCATGACGTGAACTGAAGTCAGACACTCAACCGAGCCACCCAGGGGCCCTAAGAAATGACTACTTTTAATTAGGAAAAATGTTCATTATTTTATAAGAACAACTTACTCTTAACTTGCAATAATGAAATTGTTCATTTAAGTAGGCTACTCTGTGAAGAAAATGTGCAGTCTTAAGAATGTATTGATAGCCTTTTTTTAATTACAAAAAAAAATACAGCAAAACCATTTACTTTTAAATTCTGCCATTATCACATCAATCTTTTTCAGAAGGAATTTTAACTGACAGGTTAACATTTTACAGTTAAAAAGTTTAAATGCAATGGCAATTTTACTGTAAATTGGGATTAAAAAATACTTAACGTTTATAAAAACTAAAGGTTTAGGAGCTCAAATAAAAACAGTCAATGACATTTAACAATCTTTTATAACATTATTCAACATTAACTATATTTTAACATTAAAAAGAGAAACTTTTCAGAAATGTTTCAGTTTTAAAACAAAGCTCCATATTTCACATTAGTAAGTGGAGCTATTTGGAGACCCATTACTGTAATATGCATATATTTGTTGACTGATCCCTTTACAGTATAGTTAGTAAGAATTTTAGTAAATTTTTCTTGTTTTCCTTCAATTTTATCCCTATTTTTCATGGTGAACTAGGGTCAGTTTTCAGAAGCAGAGTTATTAGTTGTCAGGTAAATGTGGAAGCAGAGATGATATATGTTATTGCCAATAGTGTTACCAGCTAACATAGCTCCAGATGCAAGATGGAGTTATCCAATTCAGCTCTATCAGAATGGCAAAATAGCTCTCTTAGAGCTGTTAGTTAGATCCCTACCTGACTCTTGCCCCAAAATTCAGAAGGAAGAGGGTAAATTCAGTTAACATCTCAAAAACTCATCAGTTAGATATTGATGGACATCTGAAATTTGAGTTTAATACCTAATGGATTAGTAACTCATAAGGTGACTATTCTATTGGTGATTTAATTATAGAAACAATGGTAAATGGTTCGAAAGAGATATGAACGTGTCTTAGACGTACAGAGCACCAAACTATATTTGAGTGCCACCATTTTTCTCAAGCTAGAAGCATTAGGAAGGCTGTGGGGAGACTAACGCTCATAGAGAAGGGACAATAGCCAAATCATGGAAAGAGCCTAACTGTCCATCAACAGATAAATGGATGAAGAAGATGTGCTTTATACATACAATGGAATACTACATGGCAATAAGAAAGAATGAAATCTAGCCATTTGTAGCAATGTGGATGGAACCTTGAGGGTGTTATGCTAAGGGAAATAAATCAGGCAGAGAAGGACAGATAACATGTGTTTTCACTCATAAGTGGAACAGGAGAAACTTAACAGAGGACCATGGGGGAAGGGAAGGGGAAAAAGAGTTAGGGAGAGGGAGGGAGGCAAACTATGAGAGACTCTTGAATACTAAGAACAAACTGAGGATTGATGGGGTTGGGGGAGAGGGGAAAATGGGTGATGGGCCTTGAGGAGGGCACTTATTGGGATGAGCACTGGGTGTTATATGGAAACCACCTTGACAAACCATAAAAAAAAAAAAGTGGGCCTTTTAATAGGCACCTGCATTTCCATATAAATGGGATATAAAAATATTTAAATGGCATTACAATGTTTAATGTAAGTTATAAAAATAGAAATCTCGGCTCTGTTCTCTCTGTTAATGGGAAAGCATTTAATATTTCATCATTAGGTATGATATTAACTGTGTTTTTTGTAGATATCCTTTATCAGTCTGAGGAAGCTCTGTTCTATTCCTTTTTTGTTTAGACAGAGGGACGTATGCAAAGTTATGAAGATAAGAGAGTATGGAATCTTCAAAATAATATGCCATGACAGGGAATGGCAAGGCATAAACTATAAAGGAAAGTCTATAAAAAGTCATGCTAAGGAATATGACTTCATGCTGTCTCAAGATGATGACAGAGAGGTTTTAAGGCAAGTGTATACTCTAATCAAATTAGAGTCAAATCAGAGTTGAAGATAGACTCTGACTCCAGTGAAAAACTAAAGACAAATTTGGAAACTGTTCCAGTTATCAGATATTGACCCTAGAAGTAGAAAAAAGATAATGATAGGAATGAAATAAGTTTTCCTTAAATTGGCCTACAAATACAACAAACATAGCCTTTACAAGAAAATGTGCCCAAATAGATTCAAATTCAACTTCAGCTTCAGTTGAAGTTTAAGTCCACTTTTATAAGAATGCTGCTGATATTTCTGACTTTTGAACAAAAATAATGTGCTGTAGCAAATATCTCAGTCAATAGTGAAAGGTTAATTTAAAATATTCCCTTAAACTGGCTGGCTCAGTCAGTAGAGCATGCAACTCTTGACCTCGGGGTCACGACATCAAGTCCCATGTTGGGCATGGAAGCCTACTTTGAAAAAATAAAAAATAAAATAAAATATTCCTTTAAAGTCAAGGAAAACACAGGAAGACAGTATAATAAGAGGAAACAGAGTAGAAATTAAAGGTTAAGGATTATAACCCAGTACATTCAATAAATTTCTGTTTTTTAAGACTCAAGGTGTCAGTCATCTCCCCTCTTAGGTGTTGTACTCCTCACCTTACAAGTGTAATTAGGAGCGCCTGGGTGGCTAAGTCAGTTAAACGTCTGACTTTGGCTCAGGTCATGCTCTCATGGTTTATGGGTTTGAGCCCCACATTGGGCTCTGTGCTGGCAGCTCAGAGCCTGGAGCCTGCTTTGGATTCTGTGTCTCCCTCTCTCTCTGCCCCTCTCCCAATCATGTTCTGTCTCTCTCTTTCTCTCAAAAATAAAATAAACATTAAAATATTTTTTTAAGGTAGAATTAACTTATGACTGCTCCTGTATTCCCACTGTGAAATGCCTGTTTTTTGCTAATAGCACATATCTCACTACTTTATTATCTTTAATATGCTTGATTCTTCCAGGGATCTAGACTAGTGAGAATTATCACATGAACTCCATGGCCCCAGATCCTGGCATATGTAAACATTTCATTGTTCAATGAGGGAACTAAATAAATGAAAAGATAAAAATCTACTGTAGTTAACCTCTTAAAAAATTTTTTTTTAATGTTTATTTAAAACATTAAAGCCAGAGCATGAGACACAGAATCTGGAGCAGGATTTAGGCTCTGAGCCGTCAGCACAGAGCCTGACATGGGGCTTGAACCCAGGAACTGCAAGATCATGACGTGAGCTGAAGTCAGGCACCGACTGAGCCAGCCATATAGTTAACCTGATTTTTATTTTTATTTTTTTTTAATTTTTTTTAAATGTTTTATTTATTTCTAGGAGAGAGAGAGAGAGACAGCGTGAGCAGGGGAGGGTCAGAGAGAGAGGGAGTCACAGACTGAAACAGGCTCCAGGCTCTGAGCTGTCAGTCAGCACAGAGCCCGACGCGGGGCTCGAACCCACGAACCGCGAGATCATGACCCGAGTGAAAGTCGGACGTTTAACCAACTACGCCACCCGGGCGCCCCATAGTTAACCTGATTTTTAAATGTCAACTACTGAAACTGAGATTAACTAATTATTAAAATATAAAATATATATTTTTCAAAAGTCACCAATTGGATTTTAAAGAAACATATCAGTGTTTTTAAAAACAATCGCAGGTTCCTTGTGCTGCCAGAAAAAAAGCTGTGTGTGTGAGGTGGTGGGCGACTTACTTTCTGCAGTTTGCATTATTATTTCATCAAGCTCTTTTTCCAATCTCTCATAAATGTCGAGCCTTGCCTGATGATCAGAGTTCCGTGCTTCAAGTTCAGTAATGCGTTTTTCAGAAGAAGCTTGGAGACTATAAAATTCTTTAGTTAAAACCTAATAGTGGAAGAAAAAAATCAGAAAGGCAGGATTAAAAAGGTTAACAGTGAAGACAAAAATGTTAACACAAAAATGCCTTTTGAATTTTTTTCTTTCTAATGATTTAAGTATGAGGAGAAAGCTCAACTGAGATGACTGAGAAGCTACAATTATTTCTGAGGTAAATTAACTCATGGTTCGTAACTGAAAATTATGAACCATTTTATTGTATGAACTGAATAAACAACAAATTTAAAACTTAGAAATATTTATAGGAATAAGATTAGCATTTACTTGTTAGAACTACAAAAATGCAGTGATGCTATCCTTACTGGAGGTCATTTATGTGGCACCTGCAGCAACTGGAGAAAGGCGTGCGCTTACAAAGCTGTGTGTGAAAATGCTACACTCGTCCTTCAGCTTTCCATCAGAGCTGACTCCATCTACGCTTACCACGGGTGTAATAGGATTTCTGGTTTCTCCAACAATCATAAATTCAAAGCAACAAACCAACATGATATATATGAAGTGCCACCTGGGGCAGTATCAGAGAATGCCTTTGTAGAAAGGAAGGATTTCAACAATTATTAAAAAAGATTAAAAAAAAAAAAAGGCATGGAAATTGGAGTTATTTTGTGTAAGAACAAAAAAACTTTACATTCTTTACTGGTTTGTTGAAAGAATCACTATGATGATAATGAATTCACTAAAAAGAGGAGACATTTCTAATGACAAAGGAAATGTTTTAATGCTTAAATTCCAACTATTTAAAGAGTTTACTAACTAGTAGAGATTAAGTTATGGAGTGGTATTATACTTGCTTTCCAATACAGCATAAGTAATGTAGTATTTCCTTAAAAGCAACAGAATATTATGGTTAAGAATATGAGTTTGCAGCCAGAAAGATTTGGGTTTCAATGCTAGCTTTGACACTTACTTAGTTTCGGATCTTAGGCAATTAATGACTCTTTCTAGGCCTACCACAAAACATTGTTGGAAGGATTAGATAAGATAATAAATTCACAGTGCTTAGCAGAGTGCCCAGAACAAAGTAAGTTTGAAAAATGTTATTACTACTTTAAGAATTATGAGAACTCTGTATTAAATGGCTTGTAGAAATAAAGATCCACTCGCCTAAGTACTCTGAATTCTCTATAATTAAACAATTTTTAACACAACCTATTTTCTTTAACGATTTCATCCTAATAAATGTACGTGATTGTGTGCTTTCTTTGATGAGGAAAAAGGAGAAGGTATAGATCTAGTTACAGTTTTTTTTTTTTAACTTTTTTTTAAGCATTTATTCAGTTTTGAGAGACAGAGAATGAGTAGGGAAGGGTCAGAGAGAGAGGGAGACACAGAATCTGAAAGAGGCTGAGCCATCAGCACAGAGCCTGATGCGGGACTCGAACCCACAAACTGTGAGATCATGACCTGAGCTGAAGTCAGATGCTTAACCGACTGAGCCACCCAGGCACCCCACAGTTTTTAACAAGTAGAAATAACAATTTAATTTTCCTTAATCTATTCCATCTTATTTTCCTTCCATTATTTTCATCAAAACTCCCCCCTGACATAACTTAAACATTATCTCCCACTCTCCAAACTTATTCTTTTGGGGGATAAAGAAAGAATAACATGGGAATAATGATGAAAATTACAGGATGATTTTTAGTGTTCCTGATTGGATCAATAAAAGAAAATTCATCTTTGAGTATTATTTCTTCTTCATTCTTGCCAGCTGGAATTTGTTTTCTACAGACTTATTAATTCATTATAACTAAATTATTAGACAGTTGAAATACTCTAGAGCTTTCATAGAATTTATTACATTGAGATGTCATTCATTAAGACTTTGGTGGCTGATGACACTAATTCCACAGTCAATAGAGAGTATCAGTAATGACATTGTTAAGTGATTATTCTCACAGCACAGCTGATACTATTTGTCTGTATTCCACCCTCCTCAACAAAATACCGCACAAGGAAAAACTGCAGAAATGGATATCTGAAGAGATAAGCAAAATGTGGAAGATGGGATATTTTGTAAAGTATTATTCTAAGAAGGGATTTTAGAAGTACTATTAAATTGAGAGATGTAATTTAAAATCTTCTCTTTGTAGCCCAGAAAGATCCCCAGACACACCCAACACTGCTGGACTCCATGGCAGAGAATTCCTTTTTACTATGGATCTGCCTGAGCAGCTTCTATAGATAAATTTATTACTGTATTTGAAAAGTCAAAGAGAACTTGATTATTGGACCTATGGAAGGCTATTATATTAAATATTCTTTAGGAAAAACCAATATATGAACATTTGAGTTTGACCAGAATGCATAAAACAGATCAACGGCTTTTAGAAATCCATTAGATATTAAGCTTTCACAGTGGGTATTTCCTTCCTTTAAATAATCGAATGATAATACAAAATTATATAAAATCATACATAGGTATATATAAAATGAATGATAATACAAAACTATAGGTCAATAATTGCTTTAAAAAGATCTAAAAATAGAAAGCCAGTGTTTTGGGAGTGTTTGCCAGTTGATAATTAAAGTAAAATAGTCCCCAAGTTACAAATCAATGAGAATATTGGGTAAAAGCCACAGAAAAGTGCATAAATATAACAATCTTTATCTTTCAGAAGATTATTTCTCCCCCAAATTCATTATAAATAGAAATGGTCTTAGAAATACTTTCTGGAACTTCAGAAAAATGGATTCTAACAACAGTGCTGTACTAACATCCATCAAACCATTCAGTCACTCATTACTTCTTGATCATCCACCATGAGCAAAGCACTGTGTTAGGTATTGGCGACACAATGATAAATGAATAATATCTTGTCTCCTCTCAAGGCTCCTAGTTTAACAGAGGAGAAAATGTAAAGAAATGCTATTAAAGCCTCAGTTTTATCAAAGGTTTTTAGAAACATAATATTTTTGGGGGCATCTGGGTGGCTCAGTTGGTTAAGTGTTTGACTCTTGATTTTGGATCAAGTCATGATCTCATAGTTTGTGAGATCGAGCCCTGTGTTGGGCTCTATGCTGACAGCATGGACCCTGCTTGGGATTCTCTCTCTCTCTCTCTCTCTCTCTCTCTCTCTCTCTGTCTTTTCCTCCTCCTCCTCCTCTGCATGTGTGCTCTCTCTCTCTTTCTCTCTCTCTCTCTGTCTTTTCCTCCTCTTCCTCCTCTGCGTGTGTGCTCTCTCTCTCTCCTGTGCATGTGTGCTCGCTCTCTCAAAATAAATAAATCAACTTAAAAAAACCCCTATTTTTTACAAATGTGTTTCTCCATAACCCTTACGCACAAAAAAACAATAATTGCCAGTCAGCCACATTCACCAACCAAATGGGTAGAGGTGTATGAGAGAGTGGCAATTGCAAGTTGTAACCTTTAAAAGGTCATGAAATCAATTCAGATTGCAACCAGTTAAAAATAATAAAACAGAATGGTTTAGTAAACATCGGTACTGTGTGCTGTATTATTTAGTGAACTATTTGTTTCAGAAGCACAGAGAGAGAGGGGAACTGCTTTCCTCTCTTCCTATATATACCTCCCATTCCCTTCCACCTGCCCCAACACACATCTTTAAGCAGTCATCCAATCTGAAAAAAAAAAAAAAAAAAGGAAAGGCATTTTGCTAGGAATTATGAAATTTTAACAATAACTTACAAAAGATGAATACCAATTCAGAGCTGATCTAATTCAGTCTAATTGAAAATGTGTGGGAGAATCTGCCACTGCAGATTATGACTGCAGTAGGTTCTCAAAGAATGTACTTGAAAAAGTATTAAGTGCTGAACACTGGTTTGCTTTAGAAGTAAACACTATCTATAACTTTTCCATTTCTTTATATATATGTATTTAATATTATTTTTATATTTTTTCCCAAGGCTTTATTTTCTGAGACCCTTTATCTTGTTAATCTTAGTTTTACTTATCAGAATACTTCCCAGAAATGTAATCTCTGAGGTATTATTGTAATGAAAACACACATCATTGGCTAATTAATCATGTTAATGACATTATTATATGTATTTCATTCAATTTTTTAAATGAGCATTTCCCACAAATCTAAAATATTCAGGAACCTGATTACATGTAACCATATAATACACAAATATAGCAATTATATAGCTTAAAATCTACTTACTGTAAATTGTTTAATTATCTATTATTTGAATAAATTACTTCCAATTTTTGCTATAATATTTAGTGCTGTAAGTATGCCATTGATATACCGTTTACAAGCATTTCTTATTTCCTCAGGTAAAATTCCTTTACAATTACTCGATCAACTTTTTAAGGACTTTAATGCAGGTTACCATACTGTCCTCCTGAAGAGAGGTTCCATTTTCTAAGCACATGAGATTTCCCCTTTAACGGTACTTTTGCCAGCAGTTTGAAAACAACAAACAGACTTATGTAAAGGTAGAAAAAAAGTTTGTTTCTTTAATTATTAGGGAGAATACATGTTTTCACCTATTTCTCAAGAATTTTCATGCCTTTTCTTGGAAAGAGTACATGCCTTCTACATAGTCTCTAGAAGAGGAAGGTATGTCCTCTTGATTAGAGGCCTCTTAACAGTAAGGACCCAAACCCTTTCTCCGATGTAACACAAGTATTATTTTTCAGTCTTCATTTATTTTTCCTACATGATTTCTTCCCCTACTTTTAATCAACAGATCAACAGATCCCAGGCAGACATAATATAAAATTTCATCTGTATCTACTTAGAAAGCTATTTAATAGCTTTATAGCTTTGCATTTACATTTACATAGGACCCATCTGAGGTTTATTCTGATATGCAGTGTGAAGTATGGAAGTAACTATTTTCTCTAGTCAAATGATTACCACAACACTGTTATCAATCCACCTTTTCCCTGGATTTGTAAAATAAACTTTACAATGAATATATTATTAAATTTATGTGATTATGGGTCTTAAGCTTTGTATTTGATACCATTTATGAACTTTTTTTGGGTGTGTTTTAATTGTTCTTGCCTCAGAATGCATTTTAAAATGTGATACATACTTCTTTTCATTATTTCTTTTTATCAATCTTCTTCAAAAATTGATTACTTTGATTTTTTTCCTAGTTATATTACATAATTACTTTGTTCAGTTAAAAAAGAGCATGCTAGGGGCGCCTGGGTGGCTCAGTTGGTTGAGTGTCCGACTTTGGCTCAGGTCATGATCTCACAGTCTGTGCGTTTGAGCCCCGTGTCAGGCTCTGTGCTGACATCTCAGAGCCTGGAGCCTGCTTCAGATTCTGTCTCCCTCTCTCTCTGCCCCTGCCCTGATCTCTCTCTGTCTCTGTCTCTCAAAATAAAATAAAAGACATTTAACAAAATTTTTAAAAAGAGCATGCTAGCAAGTAATATTACGTGATAGAAATAAAAAATATGTAATATTGAATATTACCTTCCAGGAAGATGGGTGTTTCTTCTTATGTATTAGTAAAGCTGTATGTTTTTCTTGATAATAGCCTCTGTACTATTCCTATTAAAATTATTCCAAGTAATTATATATTTTTTTAGTTGCTATGGTGAATGAAATCTTTTTCTTTTTTTGTGTGTTCTAACAATTCCAGTCCTTTGTGGTACACATATTTCTGAGATCTATTGATCTTGTGTGTGCATGTGCGTGCATGCACGTGTGCACATGTGCAGGACAGTGCTAGGTCCTATAGGTAAAATAAAGCTCAACATGACACAGACCTTGTACTTAATGAGCTTACATGCTATGCTAATTTTACTAATTTTTATTTGTTATTTAAAAAAAGTAAACCCTATGCCCAATATGGTGCTTTACCTCACAATCCTGAGATCAAGAGCTGCATGTTACCACTGAAGCAGCCAAGTAACCCATGTTAGGCTAATTTTAAAAGAAAGGCTTGTACACATACCTCTAATTTTTTCTGATATTTTTCACATTCCAATTGGCATTGTGTGAGATTTCTTGCAGTTTCCTCTTGTATAAGTTGAACACGCTCACTTTCAAAAGATTTTAACTTACTTTGATGGAGATATTCTGTTACTTTGCTTTCTGTACTAAGTTGTAGTTCTCTGTACCTGAAACAGAATGATTGCAAGACTATAAAGAAATTGGAAAAATTTATATAAATATAAACATTATGTTTAACTTTGCTATATTCCCATCTTATTATGTGATTAATAACATATTTATTCAGCAAAGCTTTTGTAAATAATTTAGACAGGCATACTAATGGAAATATGCTAAGTCTGGAAACAAAATACACCAATTAAACTAGCTCTACTGTTCCCTTATTTTTATCCCTTCCATCTCCAAATAATTATTGCCTATTACTATTATTTTGTAAGACATTTAAAATAAAAAAGAGTAAGAGTAAGTTTCAGTTATAATGCTTAAAATGATTTAATTTCTATACATTTCAAAGGTCTTCTTAAATCTACAGCAAAATTGTTGCCAAGCTTGCTGTTTCTAAGTCTAAATAATGTCATATAGAAGATAGCATGAACTATGCAAATTCTTAGGATTTTTATAAAATTTAAGTTAGTATATATATATACATGTATACAAATATAAATATTATAAGAAAACATAATGTACAAATTACAAATAATGTACAAAATATATAACAAGTAGTCTTTTGTAACACAGATAAGGAACATTTTCTTCATTTCATAAGTCTAACTAGTAATAAAACCCTTTCCATATATAAATCACCACATATTATAAATTTAAAAATGCTTCAGGATGAGTATGTTTTAGACAGCAAAACATAGACACATTATACTGTCTTAGGGAGCTATTATGAGCCCAATACAATGCTAGATATGTATTAAAATTCATGTATTCAAGTTATTTATTCAGCTAGTCACTATGCTAAATAAATGTATATATAGTGGTAGACAAAATGTTATTCCCTCTGCCCCACACCCCCTGTTAAACAAGTTAGTTTTCTGGGGAAGATAGGCAAATAAACATGAAAATTCAACAGAGTATGACAAGTGCTTCAAAAGGGTAATCCCTAGCTTCAACGGGAACATGAAGGAGGCAGACATAACTTGGTTTATACAGGTGTGTGCATGTGTTTGTGGCGGGGAGGGAAGTGTATAGGAGGTTTGGGATGGGAAGCGTTGCAGAGAGAAAAAACAAGAGTATGTGTACGGCAGGGAAGCAGCAGACAGTACCGTCAGTTTTATTCAGGGTACCTCATTTAATCCCCACAACAACCCTAGTACGTATTTTGATCATGAGGAACTTGAGGCCCAGAGATGTCAAAGAATTTCTTTAACAGGCAGAAGCTGCTAGAACATTTCAGGTTGGGTTTGAAGTCCAGCTATATTTGACTCTATGGCAATGATCTTTCCACTACTACATGATATTCTTAACTGACATTTCTGAGATCAGATTAAGCTTTCCAAAGGTCATTTCACCAAGTGACAATAACAATCACATTCAAAGTATAATCAGAGAAGATAGGTAGTAGATATTTGCTACTGGCTACTTCACTCTTGGCACTCTTTTATCTTTGATGAAAACATCTCACATTCAAACTAGTGGAAGGTCAATGTATACGGGTACACATGGTTTAATATACAGTAAGGTTTTCAGGGGAATGTCAGCTTGTCGGCTTAACTTTTTGAGAAGGCTTACATATATATATATATATGAAGAAAATTGTTAAGAAGTTATATATAGATATATGTAACTAGAGATATATAAAAATATTTTTTGTATGGATAAGCAAACATTGACAACACTTTTTACTGAGACATAATATATAAACCATGAAAGTTAATCCTCTTAAGTATGCAATTCACTTTTTTTAGTTTTTAGTATATTCACAAAGTTGTGTATGAATCACCACTATCTAATTACAAAATGTTTTTATTACCCAAATAAGCAATTCGTGTCAACTTAGCAATCACTTCCCATTCCCTTGTCCCCCAAGCCCTGGCTACCACTGCTCTACTGTCTTGCTCTATGGATTTGCTTACTCTGGACATTTCATGTAAATGGAATCATAATATGTGGCTTGCTGATGTTTTCAACGTTCATCCACGTTGTAGCATGAATTGGTACTCCACTCCTTTTTATACCTGAATAATATTCCATTGTATGGTTATATCATGTTTTGTTTATCCCTTCATCCGTTGATGGACATATGGGTTATTTCCACTTTTTGGCTATTATGAGTAATGCTGCTATGAACATATGTGGAAGTTTTTGAGTAAACATGTTTCCGTTTCTCCTAGTTATATACCAAGGAAAATAATAGGTTATATACCTAGGTCATATAGCCATTCTATTTCTAAGTTTTGAGGAACCACCAAACCGCTCTCCAATGTGGCTGGACTATTCTACATTCCCACTAGCAGGTATGAGGGTGCCAATTTCTCCATGTCATTATCAACACTTACCATTGTCTGTTTTTCTTTTATTACAGCCATTCTCATAGGTGTGAAGTGGCAAAAAAATTCTTTCACTCAAACATTTATTAATTCAACATTTTACTGACATGAAAATGTCCCTGTACCCCTTGGGGTAGGTTGTTTTATAAATATAATTGTATATAGTGTGTGAAATCAGTTTGGATTTTGTATGCTAAACTGGGAACACACTAGAGTGCATTATACAATAAATTTTGTTAAGTCATTTACAGTGGGATATTGATCTTTGAAATTGCTTTGAAAAGATAAAACTGCAAAGTTTGCCTTTTTTATGGATTCAAGACATGGTAGGTGATCAATGCCGACTCCAAGTGGGAAATTAAAAGCTTAGCTTTTAGCTCCACCTGTTCTTATTCATAATCCAGCACTTGAAAGTTACTTTCAGCACTATTACTCCTCCCCCGTACTGAAAAGTTAAAAAACAGTAGTTATCCCCTGGAAATCTGAGAACACTAGTTTAGTAAGTGGATACATCTATAAGTCAGTTGTAGCAGTGAGGGACGGACCAGAACGAGAGCACGGTCTCAGGTCGCTCCCGCTTTGTGTTTTGCGAATATAACCGGTCACATTTTACTTCGCTGACTCAGACTTCTCATCTCATCCTCATACTGTGAACATCTTATTTGAACTAAGTCATTATTATTCCCATGTTAACAACTCTGTTTGACATTCTAATTCAGTACAGTTACCTTAGGAAGTTGAATTTCTTACAAAGTTAAAAGTATAATCAGAACCTCTAACTATCCTCACAATGATCTCACCCCAGGCCACAATTCAGCTAGGTTAATGCTACATTTGGAACTGGGTTTTCAGTTTTCGTAAGATTCACCCATTATCACATACTACTTTAAAAAATAGTAATACAAAGTCCTAGAATTAATTATTTGTTCTTATGGAATGCACTACAAGATTTTTAAGCTGGACATATAGGAGAAGAAATGTGAAAAGGTGAAAAGCACCTATTAAGTAGGGAGCTGCCAACATCCTCACACCTAAGAAGTGGCCTCAGGCCCTGGTGAATTCACCCCAAGCAGCGTGGCGCGTTCTGCAATGCTGAGCAGTAACTGTGGGAGAGCCAGGAGCGTGGCCTTCAACCCATAGAAATGGGAGAACTAGGGGCGCCTGGGTGGCTTAGTCGGTTGGGCGTCTGACTTTCGCTTAGGTCATGATCTCGCGGTTCGTGGGTTCGAGCCCCGCGTCGGGCTCTGTGCTAACTGCCAGCTCGGAGCCTGGAGCCTGTTTCAGTCTGTGACTCCCTCTCTCTCTGACCCTCCCCTGCTCACGCTGTCTCTTTCTCTCCTAGAAATAAATAAAACATTAAAAAAAAATTAAAAAAAAAAAAAAAAAAGAAATGGGAGAACTAATTTAAACAAAAGCACCATATAAAATACTGAATAACAAGAAGTTCTTATAACAGTATTTACCTGAGCAGTCTTTACATATACGCTGTGGTGAGGGTTTTGCTCATTACACTGTGATGTATTAAGCCAAGAAGTGGATACAGCTTATTCCCAACTCTATCAACAAGGTTATCACTGGGTAAAAAGGTGAAGGACCTATATAATCATTAACCTTTTATTTAATCTCAGTTTTTACTTTCCAACAAGAAACAACAACTGATCTTTGAATTTTGTCCACAAAACGTTCATGGCTATCCTGATATTAAACCTGGATATTTACTCAGAACTGTAATCTAATCTCATTTGATAGAGAGCCATTCTAAGGTAAAATACCCAAAATAGATTGTCTTCAGTGGTGACAGTTCCTATAATCACCAGGACCAGGAAGTGGTCCTTCCATTAAGAAATTTTGAGAGCTGGTCCAATCTGGAGGGAAGGCAGAGCAACCGCTGAGGCAAGGCATCTGCCTGTGTGCCAGAGGACAGCTGTGTGTAGATAGAGTACCGGAAGTATAACCTGCACCAGGAAGACTGGCAAAAGAAGCTAAGCAAAGTAACAGGATTTCCAGTTACTGGCAAGGGTTCAGGGAAGGATTTTTACTTGTCAGGCATTAGGCATATTAACTGAGAGAAAGGACTGAAAGGTATTCTGGGTCAATACAGAGAATATACTGTTGGCTCAGAAGAATACATGGGAGCAAATACAAATAGTCATATGGTTGGACCACTGCATCATTTGTGCAAGGAGGATAAATCTAATTCTAAATTTCATAAGCCCATGGGGCTGAGGCTGTTGATTAACTTGCTACATGTAAGAGGAGTACTTCGAGACAGAGATGGACCTGAATGTCCAGACAGGAAGCCTTTGGTGGATTTTGGCGTGGGAAACTGAAGTTGACAAGGATTGAAGCTGCCTTCTCTAGTCACCCAAGAAGCCGTCTTGCCCACACAATGGGCAACCAATCCCATTTGCTACCAAATGGGCTACCAATCCCATTTTACTTTGCTGTCTCAGACTCCTCTTTCTCCTTGTTCTATTAAGAAGGCCTCACCGAGTTGATGTTCAATTCCTTTTCAAATGATTCATTTTGGTGGAGCTAATAACTCATCCATACCTTAACTACTCTTTGTGCCTGCTATTTCTAATTTTGAGGGGTAAGACTCATTTTCATTCTTTTTCCAGAGAATTGTGGTTGTGTTTCTAGACTTGTACTACATGCATTTCTAGACCTGC